CTCCTCGCCATCTGGTGGTATCACTGAGTGGCGCTCGAAGGTATACTCTGGTGCGTGCGGGCGTTGCGACCGGATCCTGCTGCAATGTTCATATGCACGCGATCGCCCTGGCGGCGCTGGGCGCGAACGGGGCGGGGGGGGGGGCGGGCGTTACGTTATGCGCCAAGTCCCCCACCCTCCATAGCGCCCGCCGCGGCCTCGGAGCAAGTCAACGCTTCCCTGCAGTGCACACCAGTGGTCACCAGCCGTCGCGAGGAGCCTCTGTCTGGAGTGCAGCCCTCCGGCTTTCCCTCCCCGCGTGCTCCCCCACTTCCTTGCACTCCCGTCCCCGTCGCGCTCACCGGGGCACGCCGTTCCCCGCCCTTCCCGCCATGGCGTGCTCTCTCCTGCCTCCCACCTTTCGCCCTCGCTCCTCTCATGTTCGCAGTGGCACACTGCGAGTACAATCCCCCTCTTCCCCCTGATTCTGTCCGGATGATCTTCGGACCTCTCCGTTTGCTGTCTTCTGCGCACAGGATCTCACACGTCGTTTTCTCATGCTTTCGTTGCAATCCGATTGTTTTCCGTGTTTCAGAAAAAAAGGTGCTGCCGCTGAAGCGTGGGCCTCATTTTCGGATCGGCGCTTTGTTCCCGTCGTTCAGGATGGCGCTCTCGCCCCAGCGCGGGCCACCTTTCTGGATCCCAGCCCCCCTCATTTCCCCTCATTTCCTCCCAGCGCGCGCGCGCACGTTTCCGCGCGCATCGTCCTAGACCCCCTCATTTCCCCTCCTCTGTATTACCCTGGTCCTCCTGCTCCTCTCGGTCCTTCCACTCCAGCTCCTGCTGCTGCTGCTGTTCGGCCTCGCCCTCCTTCCTCCTCTCCGCTCTCCTCCTCCTCCTCCTTCTCCTCCTCCTGCTCATCCTCCTGCTCATCCGCCTCCTTCTCCAATGTACGCAGCTCTTTTTTTACCGATTGCGCACGCATAACGCGATTGGGTCCTGTTTGGAGTTCCAGGTTCACTATGACACGCGTCGGCGGATAGAGAAAACACCGCAACGGGAAGGGATGGGAGGGAGGGGTAGGATGTCAGATATGGCACGAGCGCGCCTAGCTTGCCCCCCCCCTCTCTCACTCTTCCTCCTCCACCTCCTCCTCCTCCTCACTCTCCCGCAGCCCTCCTTCCCTTTTCCTTCCACTCCTCCTCCTCCTGCTCCTCCTCCTCCTCCTCCTCCTCCTCCACCTCCTCCTCCTCTTCCCTGCTCTGAAGCCATTTTGGCTCCAGGCCTCGGACGGTGCGCCACTTTCCTGTCGCCCGAGCCCTCTGCCTTGACCGGCGGAGCTGCCCTGCCTCGGAGGGCGCCAACTTCGCGCCAGCACCGATCCCGACCAGGCCTCCTGAATCCAGGATCGCCCTGGGCACCGAGATCTCCGAGGATGTGTTCTTTTCTGTCCGTTCGTTTTTCTTCGATTTCGGCCTTCAGGGCCCATTCTCGGTCCCCGGGACCGAGAATGGGCCCTGAAGGCCCCCAGGAAAGGCCCCCAGGAAAGGGGTCAGGCTTCTGGGGCCGCGGATTGAAAAAATCAGATGGTCGGATACCAGGTTCGGTATGTTTTTTTTTTTGTCGATTGTGCGGTGTATATCTAATAGTCATCGGCCCATCCCGCCAACGTCCCTGGGTTGTGGGCATGAAGCCTGTTGGGTGGTCGTTGGGATCTCGTGGGAGGCCTCTCGGGGGCCTCTTGGAGGTAGTTTTCGATGCCTCTCGGGGCCTGAGGCCCCTTTTGTGTCTCTGCGGGGCCTCAGGAGAAGGTGGACGATGAGACGGAGGACGGAAAGGAGTCGGAATTTGAGTGTATTATCTCGGGGGGCATCCATATCCAACTATGTGTGTGCATGCATGAATGAATGTATGCATGCATGTATATATGCATGCATGCATGCATGCATGCATGCATGCATATATGTATGTATGTATGTATGTATGTATGTATGTATGTATGTATGTATGTATGTATGTATGTGTGTGTGTGTGTATGTATGTATGTATGTATGTATGTATGTATGTATGTATGTATGTATGTATGTATGTATGTATGTAGGTATGTATGTATGTGTGTGTATGTATGTATGTATGTATGTATGTATGTATGTATGTATGTATGTGTGTGTATGTATGTATGTATGTATGTTTGTATGTTTGTATGTATGTATGTATGCATGTATGTATGTATGTATGTATGTATGTATATATATATATATATATATGTAGGTATGTAGGTATGTAGGTATGTAGGTATGCAGGTATGTAGACATGTAGGTATGCAGATAGGTATGTATATGTATGTATGTATGTATGTATGTATGTATGTATGTATGTATGTATGTATGTATGTATGCATGTATGCATGTATGCATGTATGCATGTATGCATGTATGCATGTATGCATGTATGCATGTATGCATGTATGCATGTATGCATGTATGCATGTATGCATGTATGCATGTATGCATGTATGCATGTATGCATGCATGCATGCATGCATGCATGTAGGTATGTATGTATGTATGTATGTATGTATGTATGTATGTATGGCGGAAAGAGCGAGGTACGAGCGAGTGACGTTGAGTAGGGGGCGAAGCCCTTCTAGGGAGGGGTCCAGGGGAGGGGCGAGGCGCGGACGGATTGGTCTAATAGCCCGTTTCCCTCGTATTTTTTCGAGTGAAGCGGCTCCCGGGCGGCTCCCATGGCCCGTTTCTTCCCCAGACGGGCCCAAGACGGCCCAGAGGCCCCAAATATCGTCCCAAGACGGCCCCGGAGGCGCCCCAAACGGGCCCAACGGTCCAAGAGGGCCCCCAGACGGGCCCAAGACGGCCTAAGAGGCATCCCAAAACGGCCCCAGATGCGCCCCAAAGGGGCCCAAAACGGCCCAAGATGGCCCCCAGACGGCCCCAATACGGCCAAGAGGGCCCCGAGGGCCCTAAGAAAGCCCAAGAGGGCCCCAATAGGCTCCCCAGCGCGCCCGAAGAGGAGGAGGGGGAGCAGGAGGAGGAGGAGGAGGAGGAGGAGGCAGGAGGAGGAGGAGGAGGAGGAGAGGAGGAGGAGGAGGAGGAGGAGGAGGAGGAGGAGGAGGAGGAGGAGGAGGAGGAGGAGGTAGAAGGAGGAGGAGGGAGGAGGAGGAGGAGGAGGAGGAGGAGGAAGATGAGGAACGAGGCGAGGCCAAGGGAGGAGGAGGGAGGTAGAGGAGGAGGGAGGAAGAGGAAAAGGAGGAGGAGGAGGAGGAGAGGAGGAGGAGGACGAGGACGAGGAGGAGGAAGGGAGGAGGAGGAGGCGGAGGAGGGAGGGAGGAGGAGGAACGAGGACGAGGCCAAGGGAGGAGGGAAGTAGAAGGAGGAGGGGAGGCGGAGGAGGAGGAGGAGGAGGATGAGGATGAGGAGGAGGAGGAGGAGGAGGAGGAGGAAAGGAGGAGGAGGAGGAAGGAGGAGGAGGAGGCGGAGGAGGAGGAGGAGGAGAGGAGAGAGGAGGAGGCGGAGGCGGAGGAGGGAGGAGGGCGGAGGAGGCGGGCGAGGCGGAGGCGGAGGCGGAGAGGAGGAGGAGGAAGAGGAGGCGGGCGGAGGCGGAGGAGAAGACGGATGAGGAGGAGGAGGAGGGGGAGGAGGAGGGGGAGGAGGGGAGAGAAAGAGGAGGAGCAGGAGGAGGAGGAGGAGGAGGAGGAGGAGGACGAGGAGGAGGAGGAGCGTTGGGTGACGTAACAAGCTCTCAACGCCAAGGCTCCCAGTACAAATGGTGGTGTGAGTACCTACGGTTAATGTGTTTGAGGCGCTCTTTCCGTGTCCGTGCCGGCCCAGGTGTATGTATGTATGTATGTATGTATGTATGTATGTATGTACGTATGTACGTATGCATGCATGCATGCATGCATGCTTGCATGCATGTATGTGTGTATGCAGGCATGTATGTTTGTATGCAAACATACATGCATGCATGTATGCATGCATGCATGCATCTACGTATACATATATATACATATACATATATGAATGTGTGTACGTAAGCATGCATGCACGTACGCATGTATGCATGTATGCATGTTTACATACATATGTATATATATGACTTGATGCATGCAGAACGGTTTTTATTTATCAGGCATTCATGCATCCATGCATGCGTGTATATGTGTATGTGTGTATGCATATCTGTATGTATGTATGTATGTATGTGTATGTGTATGTGTATATCTACATGCATGCATGTATGTATGTATGCATGCATGGATGTAATGTATGGATGCGTGCATGTATGCATGCATGTATGTTTGTATGTATGCGTGTATGGAATGTAGTGCCTTTCATGCAATGTATGTAATGACATGCCAGTCGCTGGCATGCACTGTGATGTAATGCGATGCACTCTATTGTAATGTACGTATGTATGTATGTATCGATCTATGCTTGTAAGTATGTACATATATATGTACATATGAATGAAGGTGTGTATGTATGCATGCATGTATGTAGACATGTAGGTAGGTAGGTCGGCCGACATGTATGTATGTATGTGTGTATGTATGTATGCATGTATGTATCTATGTATGTATTTATGTATGTAATGTCATGTAATGTAATGTCATGTCATGTCATGTCATGTCATGTAATGTATGTATGTATGTATGTATGTATGTATGTATGTAGGTATGTGTGTGTATGTGTGTATGTGTGTATGTGTGTATGTGTGTATGTATGTATGCATGCATGCATGCATTCATGTATGTAGGTATGTATGCATGTATGTATGCATATATGCATGTATGTATGTATGTATGTATGTATGCATTTGTTTGTATATATATACATATGTGAATGTGTGGTCGGATTCACGCTCGCCTTGCCAAGCTCGTCATCTTCCCTTTTTCCCCTGCTTCCAATTCTGCGCTGGCCGGGGAAAAATGAAAGACTACGCTTGGCCAGGCTCGATATCGGTGTTTGGTTGGCTTCCTCCCGCCGTGTCCTCCCAGCACCATGGCGGAGCCTCCCGAGAAGAAGCAGAAGACCGAGGAGGAGCAGGCGAAGGACGCCGCAGCGACTGAGGTGCCCAAAGCGCCGGAGCCGCCCAAGGAGCTCGAGGAGGACGCGAAGGCGCTCAAGGGGGCAAAGGCTGCGGACGCAGTCGAGTTCCTGCAGCCAGACACCACAGTGAACGTCATGCCCGCGCTCAACGGCAGCATCTTGACTTCTCTCACGGACAACGGTTTCAGCCACCTCCTGGCGGGCGCGCGGGCCAGCGTCGGCGTGAAGTCGGGCAGGTACATGTTCGAGGTCAAAATCGTGGAGTCCCCGAGTTCCTCTCACAAGAGCGGGCCGCACCCCCAGAACTTGCTAAAGATTGGCTTCTCCGTCGCCAATTCGTCGCTGCTCATGGACTCCACTGAAGCCAGCGTCAGTTTTGATTCCGAGGGCCACTTCAGCGGCATCAAGTCGGGCAAGAAGGTCAGCCAGAAGCTCTCCGGGGGCAACGTTGTGGCGTGCTTGCTGAACCTTGACAAAGGCAGCCCGAACTGCAACACCATCAGCCTCTTCAGCGGTGGCAAGCGTATCTCGCAGCCCCAGGCTGTCCCAGAAAGCTTGCTGGGCAAGGCCCTCTTTCCCACCGTGGCGTTCAAGTGCATGACTTTGCACGCGAACTTCGGACCCGAGCCGCTGTGCCCGCTCCCTTTTACATGCCACATGGTTGCTTCGGCACCCAAGTCCCAAGCCGAAGTCAAGACCTCCACCGCTACTGAGGCGGCCGAGGTGCTCTTCCCCGTCAGCCTGCCAGACGAAGGCAGCTTCGACTGGCTAGACATGTTCCTTGAGAAGAGTCCAGGGTACGTAGAGATCAGCGACCGCGCCGTCCGAGAATGGGTAGAGAAAAGCGGCAACTGGCAGAAGAGGGGGGCCGTGCCAAAGAGTTCCAACGACAAGCCCGAGATGGGCTTCGGGGTGCCCAAGCTCGATGATGGCTCGAGCGTCAAGAAGATGCTGACGACCCTCTGCGCGCTCCAGAAGCGGAGCGCCGTGGTGATGGAGGTGAAGGGCAACTTGATCAAAGAGGAGATCGGCGGCGAGCGAGGGGGGGAACGGAGAAGGAAACGGCCTTCTCGGAAGGCGGCGGGACTTCTCCGAAACCCTCGCGCCTTATGATAGGTTTTAGAGATTTTCGAGCCTTCTGAGAAGGCCTCGCGGACTTCCGAGCCTTTTGAAAAGGTCTTCCCCTTCTCACTTCCCTCCCTCGCTCGCCGCCAAGGAGAGGGCAGCATCTCTCGAGCCCTTTAAGTCGGCAGGCATCCGGCTGCCTGCGGCAGGTGCCGCCACAGTTCCTCTTCGCAACACCCTGTGTGGCGGCGCTTCGAGCACCGCCCAGAAGGCTGTTAACATGGAGGAGGAGGAGGAAGAGGAGGAGGAGGAGGAGGAGGAATAATAATGCTACTACTATTGGTAATGATAAGCATACTACTACTACTACTACTACTACTACTACTACTACTACTACTACTACTACTACTACTACTACTACTACTACTACTACTACTACTACTACTACTACTACTACTACTACTACTACTACTACTACTACTACTACTACTACTACTACTACTACTACTACTATACTACTACTACTACTACTACTACTACTACTACTACTACTACTACTACTACTACTACTACTACTACTACTACTACTACTACTACTGCTACTACTACTACTACTACTACCTACTACTACTACTACTACTACTACTACTACTACTACTACTACTACTACTACTACTACTACGACTACGACTACTACTACTACGACTACTACTGCTACTACTACTACTACTACTACTACTACTACGACTACTACTACCACTACTACAACTACTACTACTACTACTACTACTACTACTACTACTACTACTACTACTACTACTACTACTACTACTACTACTACTACTACTACTACTACTACTACTACTACTACTACTACGACGACGACGACGACGACGACGACGACGACGACGACGACGACGACGACGACGACGACGGCGGCGGCGGCGGCGGCGGCGACGACGACGACGACGACGACTACTACTACTAATAAGAAGAAGGAGAATGCCAATACCAATCATAGTATTTATCATACGATTAATAAGAATAATGATAATACTAATCATAATAAGAGGAAGAGGAGGAGGAGGAGAAGGAGGAGGTGAAGGAGGAGGCGGATGAGGAGGAGGAGGAGGAAGAGGGGAGGAGGAGAGGAGGAGGAGGAGGAAGAGGAGAAGGAGTGAGACCTCTCGTCTCTACTCCTTGGGTAGCTCTCATGGGGCCGACTTGGGCCGTCTCGGCCTCCCGTGACGCCATCCTGGGGCCCTGGTGAGACCCTCTTGGCTGATCTTTGGGCCCTCTGGGCCCCCTTGGTGCCTTTTTTTGGCCCCGCCTGGCTCTTGGCTGTCTGGGGAGCCTCTTAGGGCTCTACCTTCGGGGCCTCTATGCGCCGCTTTTGGGGCCTTCTTGGGGCTGCCCCAGGCCATCTGGGGGTCTTCTTTGGGCCCTTATTGGGCTCCCTACGGTTTTTTGTTCAAAACGTTGCAGGAAGTCGTGCTGAAAGAATCTGGTTGACCCTCTCTTCTGGGTTGTCGGGGGCCTCCTGGTGCCCCTCTGGCCCCATACTGGAGCCTTCTCGGGACTTGACTGGTGCCCCTTCGGGCCGTCTTGGCGGCTCTGGCTCCCTTCCGGCTCCGCCCTGGAAGTCTTGGAGCGCCGTGGAGGGCCTCTCAGGTGAGGGGGGGAGAATGCACGCGGCTGAGTGCGACGAGACAGCACTCGGCATTCTACCACGCCTCGACGTGCCAGGGGGCACGATGGCGGATCAAGACTTCTGCGATGGTCTTGGTAGGGGATCCGCCAGCCGAGTTCAAGAAGGTGTCACAAGAACTGCTCCTCAAGCAGAAGCAGGCTGCCTCCAACAAGGAGCACCACGACAAGTTCATGGCCGAGAAGAAGAAATGGCAGTTTACCAAAAAACAGAAGGAGCTGGAGAAAGCCCGCAAGAAGGCGGCGAAGGAGAAGGAGAAGGCCGCCAAGGCCAAGGCGAAGGCTCAGGCCAAGGCCCTCGAGGAGGCCAAGAAGAAGGCCCTGGCAGCCAAAGAAGGTGAGGAGAAGAAAGGAGATGAGGAGAAGAAGGGAGACGAGGAGAAGAAGGATGAGCCAGACAAGGAAGAGGAGGAGCCCGAAGAGGAAGAGCCCGAAGAGGAAGAGGCCGACGAGCCCGAGCCAATGGAGGAAGACCCGCCAGAAGTGACGCTCACCGCCGAGGAGAAGAAGCTCGCCTTCCGTCCCACCCCTGTCCCCGACCTCACCCAGTACGTTCTGAACACGACTTTCACCAAGTTCTCCCTTCCAGACAAGGAGGAGGGCTTCGACGAGATCAAGTACGGCTTCCTCAAGGAGGGTTCGTCTTTTTCTTTTTCCCCAGATCCTGACCCCCGGAGGTCCCCTGAGGTCCCCCGGGGTTCGCGAAGTCCACCCGAAGGCCTCAGGAGGCCACTGGAGGACCAAAAGGGATACTGCGTGTTACAGCACGTCCCGAAATCTCCGCCCCTTCCCCTCCTCGATCCTCGAGGCCTGTGGGTAAGACTTAGCGGGACCGAGCGATGAAGAGATGCCCGGGGGGTCGCAGCGCCCCGCTGGGGAGTGGACGACCAGAAGTAGATCTGCGCTTCGCCGCCGTCTCCGATCAGTCGTCGGCAGCCAGCGACCCAGACGATGCGCGATTCTTCGTTTAGTCGCCCCTGCCCGATCAGCTCATTAGCCGTTTGGTGGCAGCCTTGCTCCAGGACGGCGCGAAGTGCACCAAGTTCGTCGAGGACTGGATCTCTTCCCGCAAGCTCACCACGCGGGTGGAGGACGTCACTCCCTCACCGGGGTTCTTCGCCAAGAAGAAGGCTTTCGACAAGGCCGTGCAGGACTGGCGCACGGCCGTCAACAAATACAAGTCGCTCAAAGCGAAGAAGCTCGCGGACAAGGCGGCGAAGGATCAGATCACAACAATCATGCCGATACCGATGCCCTTCCCTCGTTGACGCTTTTTGGGATCTCCTTGGGGTCCTCGTCGCCACGTCTGAGACCGTCTGGGCTCGGCTCGGAGTCGTGGTCAGAGCGCGCCTGGGGAGAGGTCCAGGGACCAGTGGTGTCTGTTTCCATGCCCCCCCCCCCAGAAGGAGGCGAAAAAGAAGCAGGAGGCGGCGAAGGCCGCAGCTGCAAAGGCCAAGGCCGAGGCAGATAAGAAGAAGAAGGAAGAGGAGAAAAAGGAGGGAGAGAAGGAGGAGGAGAAGGAAGAGGAGAAGGAGGAGGCGCCAGAGGTCGAGGCCGAGGAGGAGGAGGAGGAGGCCGAGGAGCCAGAGGTCAATATCGAAGACGTCGATGTGTTCAAGTGTGACGATGTCACTGACGTCGGCGGGGGTATGCCCCTGTGTAACTTCTTCGCTCCCGCCGATTGGGCGCTGATGACCCTCGCTTTCGAGCTCCATCAACTCACACACTCTTTCAAGAGTGACGCCAAGGACGAGACCCGTGCGGGCATTCACTTGGACCATCTGGATTTCTACTACCAGAAGTACTTCCAGAAGGCTCTGACCCCGAAGAGCTTCGGGGTGGAGACTGTGCAGGCCGTCGTGGACTTGGTGAAGGATGTCGTCCACATCAACGGCAAGGGCCAGCTGGTGTCCATGCTGTCGGAGGAGATGGAGAGTTACCAGATCTTCGTCATGATCACCGAGGAGGCGCGGCGATACCGCAGCCTGCGCATCGACGTAGGCGATGAGTCCGCAGTGCTGAAGATCGCCGTCCAGCACGGCAGCCAGCAGCAGCAGAACGGCCACAAGAGGAAGGGGGAGTGGAAGGATTGGAAGCAGCCCCAGGCCCATCCGCGGGGGGCACATCCGCATCCGTGCCCTCGCGGGTCTGGACCCCTCGACCGCGGCCTGTGGATACGAGTGCATTTCTTTTTTGGTCCATGGTCTGTTTTTTGTTTGTTTGTTTGGTTGTTGTCGCGACCTTGCCAAGTTTGGGGCGTAGTGTAAGTAGTGTACCAGAATATGGGGCGCGTGACACCAGACCTTTGCTTGGAGAGCACTGCCAAGCCGCTGGAGTTGATCCAGGTGTTTCGGTCGTGCCGGGGGAAAAAGTGGATACGAGAGCACTCCGCCGCTGGCTCGGCGCAGAGGCCTCGAGCGGTGCACATCCGCGGGGCCGCTGTCGGATGTCCAGACAGCGATGGCCGGACGTGGGCGCGCTCGTCGCACACGACAGGCTGTGGGCGCAGTCGGCAAGGGCACCACCAGCAAGGGCGCGACAGGCAAGGGCGCGACTGGCAAGGGCGCGACCAGCAAGGGCGGCTGGCAGGGGCAGAGCTGGGCGAACAAGAAGCCCAGGGTCTGGACGACCAAGTGAGGCCGCCGGGTGAGGGACCGCTCTGCGACCACGTGCGATCCTTGCCCCTGCGGGTCCAGTCGACGCTGGGGTATGGGACACCGCCGCTTGGGTGCACTTGGCTGCAGACATGCCTCGAAGTCTGCGCTCCAGCTGACGTTGCTGAAATCTGACCTGCAGGGGTAGCGTTCACATGTGGCTGCATAACCGCGGGCACCGCTTGGGCGCCGCCGGCAGCAAGTGGCCCGACTCCATTTAGTACTGCTCTTATGAATTGTGCTCGTCGTCGTCCTCCTCCGCCGCCTCATTCGTCTCGCTTGCGTCCAGGCTGCGGAAGACCAGGGGCACCGAAAGGGGGGAACTGGCTCGGGGGGAGCATCGACCCCTAGCTAACCATCCACCGCCGATCGTGGCTGGCGTGCCAGCCTCATGCCAGGAACGCTTTTCGCTCGGTCGCCTGAGCCAGCCTCTCCTTGCGGCTCCGCTCCGACAAGGTGGGACGCCAGAGGCACGGTGATAGTCATTCCATCCAGGATGCAGTTCGTCGCAAGCATCGCTGGGGAGGGGCTCCCATTTCTATGACCAGGTGCTTTCGCAAGGCCGCATCCCTGACATCCGCCGATGCGATCTTTGCAATCTTCGGCCCCAGAGGTCCCGAGCGGCTCCCAGGGGTAGCTTCTCTGCCCGGAGTTCTGCTCTGATGGTCCTGGGGCCCGATGGCGGCCCCCAGGGGCCGACCTCGAGGAAACACGGCGGGATTGGGCAAATCACACCGCTGGAGCCTGGGGATCCTGGCAAGCTGCGGCTCGCCGCGCACCCTCGGGGGCAGGCAGCAGGGCAGGCGGAGGCAGGATAGGTCGGGGCGCAGGCCCCCCGCGTCGGCCCTGCAGCCATTTTGGCTTTCATACCTGGGGCACGCGCCCGTGCCCGCCGGCGAGGACCCGCGTGGGGATGTGGGCGTGTGCGTGCGTGGGTGGAGGAGACAGAGCGGGAGGAGCGGGGGGAGGCGGAGTGCGAGATGGATGAGGAACCTCTTTGATCCTTCCGTTCATCCAGAGGGGCCGTGCTGCCTCTGCGACCACGCGCCACCCCGAAAGAGATCGGAAGCCCTGCTCGACGCAGCGAGCCGCCGGGACAGGCTTCACAGCGTCCACCCGACTGGAACCCTCACGCTAGCATCAGCTCATTGCCACGCACTGCCAGCCACCTAGCTGCGGCCGAATTTCGGCGAGGAGGGGGGAAGACATGCATCTGCGTAACTATCAGCTCCCTGCGACTTAGGACGCAGCGCGTGCCGCGCGCAAGAGAGGAGTTGCGAGATGGTTCGGATGTGAGTTCGGGCGGGGGGGTGCCAGAACGCGAGTTCGGCTGAGGTCGGATTGAGTTCGGGCGATTTGGGATTGGAGAATGTTCGGGCTGGCAAGTTTGGGCTCTGCCGCGGGTCCTGGCCCCCGGAGGTCTCCAGAGATCTCGGTTGGTCTCTGGAGTCTTTCAGAGGCCCAGAAATATTCAGAGGCGTTCACAAGCCTACCAGAAGTGCCTTCCCCGCAAGAGATCAGGTGCCGTGTTTGTTCGCTACATGCAAGTGGCGTTCTTTCTTTCTCTGGAGACCCCACGCAGTCCTCACACACCCTCCTTCATCATCACCTGTCACCCTCAGTATAACCACCATCACAACCACCACCATCATCATACTCGTCATCATCATCAGCATCATCATAGTCTCCATCATCATCATCATCATCATCATCATCATCATCATCATCATCATCATCATCATCATCATCATCATCATCATCATCACCGTCATCACCATCATCTTCATCATCACCACGATCATCATCAACAACATCATCGTGATCGCCATCGCCATCGTCATTGTCATCGTCATCGTCATCGCCATCGCCATCGTCGTCATCATTGACAAGGATGTCTCGAACGGGAGCCTCGTGTGTGAGTAAATCGCGAGGCAGTCTCGAGCGGGCGCCTTCGCCGGATGGGGCCCGCAGATCATATTATTAATCCGAGGGGGGTCATCCAAAACCTGTAATTGTGCGCACTTTTCGGCTCCTCAAGTTTGAATCTTGAGAAATTCTCGAGCGGGAGCCATGTTTGTGAGTGAATCTCGAGGAAGTCTCAGGCGGGAGCCCTCTCCCTATGGGGTCCACACCTCATGCTAGTAATCCGAGCGGGTCATCCAGATCCTGTAACATTCGGCGCTTTTGGGCTCCTGAGTTTTGAATATTGAGGAAGTCTCGAGCGGGAGAATCGTCCGTAAGTCTCGAGTAGGACATATCGTGGCAGGTTACGGGCCCTTATTCGCGTTCGCTGCAAGCTGGTGCGAGTATTGTTGGAAACCAACGAGTTAGCACACTAGTACCAACACCTGCGAGGCATTGCCTTGTGATATGGTGGGTGTGCGCGAGAGAGGGCGCGTGGCCCCGTCATTGCATTCACACTGAAGCCCTTCGCATTGCACCCGCTTGTCTGAATAGCAATCCATGGGTCCTCGACCCTCGATCCTGGATTCCCCTCCTTCCCCAACTCCTCTTGAGACCAACCTCCGGTCAACTCAGGTCCCTGTTCGTATGGCTGGAGGAAGACGAGGGCGCGATTGTCAGATACAAGCGGATACCAGCAGAGACCATCCGAGACCAGCAGAGACCAGCAGACTGCGGCAGAGACCAGCAGATACCAGCAGGGAGCCACAGACGCCAGTAGACACCAGCAGAGAGCAGCAGATAGCAGCAGGCAGCAGCAGATGGCAGCAGAGTGCAGCAGGGGGCAGCAGAGATCAGCAGAGATCAGCAGGGATCAGCAGAGAGCAGCATGAACAGCAGTGACCAGCAGAGAGCAGCAGTCAGCAGCAGAAAACATCATACGGTACACAGAGCAGCAGCAGAGCGAAGCAGATATCAGCAGAGGACAGCAGCAGAGAGCAGCAGAGGGCAGCATAAACCAGCAGAGACCAGGAAAGACCAGCAGAGAACAGCGGACAACAGCGGACAGCAGCTCAGAGCAGCTTGGAGCAGTAGACAACAGTAGATCGCAGCAGAGAGTAGCAGAGGGCAGCACAGAGCAGCAGAGAGCATCAGAGAGCCGCAGAGGCCAGCAGACAACAGCAACGCCATGAGAGCCGCAACAGCAGGCAGCAGCAGAAAGCAGCAGCCAGCAGCAGAGCCCAGCATGTTCCAGCAGAGCGCAGCAGAGACCAGCCGAGAGCAGCAGACATCAGCAGGCGGCAGCAGAAACCAGCTGAGAGCAGCAGACATCAACAGACAGGAGCAGAGAGCAGTAGAGAGCAGCAGGGACCAGCAGAGAGCAGCAGACCACAGCAGCCAGCATCAGGCAGCACCAGAGACCAGCAGAGGTCAGCAGAGAGCAGCAGAGACAAGCAGAGAGCGGCAGAGACCAGCAGTGGGCAGTAGAGAGCAGCAGATATCAGCATAGAGCTGCAGAGACCAGTAGACAACAATAGAGGGCAGAGAGCAGCAGAGAGCAGCAGGCAGCAGCAGAGAACAGCAGGCAGCAGCATAGATCAGCAGTCAGTAGCAGAGAGAGGCAGAGATCGGCAGAGGCAGACCGAGAGCAGCAGAAAGCAGCAGAGAGCAGCAGACAGCAGCAGAGAGCAGCAGAGAAAAGCAGAGAGCGGCGAGAGCAGCAGCAGCAGAGAGCAGCAGACATCAGCAGAGGACAGCACTGACCAACACTGCGCAGCAGTGACCAGCAGAGACCAGCACTCGGCGGCAGTGTCCAGCAGATGCTAGAAGAGACCAGCAGAGACCAGCAGAGACCAGCAGAGGCAGGCAGAGACCAGCAAAGGGTAGCAGAGGACCACCAGAGACCATCATAGAGCAGCGGAGAGCAGCAGAGAGCAGCACAGAGCAGCAGAGAGCAGCAGAGAGCAGCAGAGAGCAGCAGACACCAGCAGGGAGCAGCAGAGAGCAGCAGAGACCAGCCGAGACCAGCAGAGGGCAGTAGAGTCCAGCAGAGGCCACAACAGACCAGCCCAGACAAGCAGAGACCAGCAGAGATAGGCAGAGGCCGGCCGAGGCTAGCAGAGACGGCCCGAGAGCAGCAGAGAGCAACAGCAGGCAGCAGAGAGCAGCAGCCACCAGCAGAGACCAGCAGAGGGCAGCAACGTCCAGCGGAGAGCAGCAGAGACCAGCAGGGGGAGCAACAGAGAGCAGCAGAGCTCGGCGGAGGCAAAGGTCATGAATGACATTCCGTGGCCAGCAGAGAGCAACTGTGAGCAGCAGAGACCAGCAGAGAGCAGCAGAACTCATCTGACACCAACAGAGACTAGCAGAGACCAGCAGGGACCATCAAACGCCAAGAGAGTAGCGGAGACCAGCAGAGACAGGGAGAGACCGCCAATCAGAGGATAGCACAGACCAGCAGCGAGCAGCAGAGAGCAGCAGGACAGCACAGACCAGCAGCGGACGATGATGATGATGACGATGATGGTGGTGGTGGTGATGATGATGGTGATGCTGATGATGCCGATGCTGAGGCTGATGCTGATGATGCTTTGCATGATGCTGATGCTGCGGATGATGCTACTGATGATGCTGATGCTGACGATGATGATGATGCTGATGATGATGCTTTTGATACTGCTGCTGCTGATGATGATGCTGACGATGCTGATGATGCTGCTGCTGGTGATGATGATGCTGCCGATGCAGATTGTGCTAATGCTGGCGACGATTATGATAGTGATTATGAGGATGCTGATGACGATGTTGTTGATGATGATGCTGATGATGCTGATGATGATTGCTGTGGTGGTGATGATGATGTGGATGAGGATGGCGGATGAGGATGACGATGATGATGATGCTGCTGATGATGATGATTATGATGATTATGATGCTGCTGATGACGATGCTCATGATGGCGATGATGATGAGGATGATGAGGATGATGTTGCTGATGATGCTGCTGATGATGATGCCGTTGATGATGATGAGGCTGATGATGCTGATGCTGTTGCTGATGCTGCTGTTTATCATGATGAC